AAAAAAAAAAAAGAATCCTCAATGGCTCCCATCTTCCAATGGATAGTGGCCTTATCTTCTACATGTCTGGTCTTTCCACCTTCTGCCCACACACACCTCTCAAGGATGCAAATCTCTGTGCTCCACCTGTCCCTGGTGTGTCCCTGGATACACTCTTCACCTCAACCTCTTCCATGTACCCTTCACTACTGAGGAAATAAAATATCTTTGCCTCTCTGGAAGGTTCCTCAGATCTCTGCTGCCTCTGGGTTCAAACCCAGGGTCCCTGTGCTTCTTCTGACCCATGTCTCCGGAGGGAGAGATGCTTCTTACTTTCTTTGCATCACACACTGCGACCAATACCAGTCTTGGCACAGAGCCGGGCCTCAGAAAACGCCAGATTATTGTTGTTAGGTACTATTGAGTCAAAACTGACTCACAGCCGACCCTCCAGTGGATTTCTAAAGCAGTACATGTTAGGAGACGATTTGTCTCTAAGAGAGCAGCTTGAGGATTCAAACCACACGCCGTTGGGTTTGTAACACAACCCTTTACCACTTAACCACCAGGAGAACCCCACTAAACTGGCCCAAGGGCTTAAAAGTGCATTTTAAGCCAATAATGCCACGTCGCCACGAGGGGGCGACACAGACTAGAAAATGGCAAAGGCAGGTGCGTCCATGCGCTATTCCCTTTGCTGCCACTGGGGGCACACGCGAGTCAAAAGACTCAGAACTGAATTGGCATCTATCAACGAGGAGTTTGGGTGGCATAGTGCACAACGTGTTAAGCTGTTAACAGAAAGATCAGCAATTTAATCTTCAAGCAGAGATGGGGAGTCTCCTCCTGTAAAGATATGCAGCCTTGAAATCTGATGAAAGGTCACCATGAATCAGAATTGACCCCATGGGATGAGTTGACCTGGCACTTAATGGGGCACCTACGCTGAAGACGTCCTGGTTTAAATGACCCTGGCTGGTAACTGAAGGGTCAAGGATTTGAACTAACCAACTCCTCCTCCTTATGAGAAGGGCGTGTCAGGCTTCCATAAATGTTCACAGCCTCTCACACCTGTGTGGAGTTCTACTCTGTCCTTATGTTGCATGAATTGGAGTGGACTTGATGGCAATAGGTCTGGGGGAGCTCCTGGAGCGGGGGGATGACAGCTTCTATGCATGTAAATAGCACTGAGCGAGCTCCAGCGGCTTGGTGGTAAGGATCGTGCTGCCAACCCAAAGGCACATAGTTCTAATCCACCAGCTGCTCTGAGGGAGAAAGGTGGGCCATTGCCTCCCATGCGATTTACAACCTCAGAAACCTTGTGTTTGGGGAGGGGAGGCGTGTGTAGGGTTCAGCTGCTTCCAGCTTGATGGTAATAAGTTTGAGAGTTTCTACAGCATCTGTGCTACATAAATCAAGGAGCTCTGATGACCTAGTGATCCGGAACTACTCTGCTGGCTTGAAGGATGGGACATAACAGCAGTGCATGTAAAAGACGGAGACATCAGCTGGGGGTGAAGCAACAGGGAGGAGAAGTGAACAGGCACTAACAGAGAGTCCTCAGAACTATCCTCTGAAAATATGTGTCAACGCGATTGGGCTGTCATATTCTGTAACTATTCTCCGTTTTGGGATCTGACACACAGTGTGTCCTTGACAGAAATCGGTGACTCTTGAAGTGTCATTTTAAAGAATACCCACCCATCCCTTCATTTCCTCCTGGAACTATGAGCAGACAGGCATTTTTTTCTCTTTGACCTTCATGCGGTTTCTGACCAGGCGTAAAAAGTCTTTTTTAGTGCTGCTCAGTGAATAAGGATGCCGGAAGAATCGAAGCCTTTGAGCTGTGGTCTGGGAGATGAGCACTGAATATGCCGTGATGTCAAAAGAACAGCATATGTCTTGGAGAAAGTGCAGCCAGAAAGCTCCTTGGAGGCAAAGATACAGCATCACCTAACATACCGCAAGCATGTGGCAGGAGAGGCTATTCCTTGGACAAAGACATCATGCTTGGAAAGGTGCAGGGTCAGTAAAAGGGAGAGATATTCTCAATCAAATGGATTGAAACGACTCCAACAATAGGCTGAGATTGTGAGGATGGCACAGGATATGGCGGGCTTCAGATCTGCTGTTCATAGGGTCACTATGAATCATACTTGACTGGATGACACTTAACAACAACAACCTCTATATTAAAAACTAAATACTAGAAGACTCCTGTGGTGTCAGTAAATTACCTCAAAAATTGACTTTTTTATCAAATGTGTTATCCTACACTGGGAAAATGGTCTCCATCTACCTTAACTTTGGACACATGGTCTTTCAAATCATCCACAACTGGGGGACCAATATAAGAGAGCATTTTCCACACCACTAAAAAGGGTGGAGAGGGGGTGAAGAAAATGTGGCATTGCTCTGAAGAGATGGTGACAAGGTGTAACCACAGGAACCCCAGTGACGGAGCTACAGTTTTTGTTTGCTGGATTAACTGAAGGAAAAGCCGGCTTGTAGCTGCTCTGAAATCAAGTTTGCTGGACAACTGAGAAAACCAGAGGTACATCTGTTTATGCTGCTGAACTGAACCTAGACTTTCACTAACTGAGGAATTGTGCCTTGTTAATCTGGCTTGGGACCGCTGGACTAACCCTGGATTCGCACTGTGTGATATTCTTTGCCTCCTTCCCTCCCCAACCTATTTCTCTAATAAACCCCAGAACTGTGAGTGTGTGTGTCAAGTTACAGTGAACTCTGGACTCAATGATTTCTAGAAATCAGTGCAGAAGCATGGGGGTCTGATGAGGTAGCTATTTGTTTGGTACTTTGGATGTTGTTGACGGGGACAGTTCCCTTGTATGAAGCAGATACAAGTCAGACTCGGCCTTCCTCATGCTGCATCTGCATCTTTAACAACTAGCTTCTTAAATGGATCGATTTTAGCATGGTATCTTTATTAGCAGTAGTAACAACTGTACAGCATTTTTTAAAGAAAACAAGGCTTTGGTTTAAATGTTGTTAGGTGCCATTGCACCAGCTCCAACGCACAGAGACGTCACGTTCAGCAGAAGGAAAGCCTGGCCTGGCTGCACCCTCTTCATGAGCCTTTGCCGAGTCAGTGCATCCGTCATCTCCCTGAGGCCCTTCCTCTCCTTCGTTGGTCCTCTGCTTTTCTTTCAAGCATGATGCTCTTTTCTAGGGACTTCCTCGTCTGACATTACACCCAAGCTCCTAAGGCAACGTCTCACCACCTCCCGGCAGGAGCACTCTGAATGTACTTCCTCCAAGACAGACCCGCTCGCTCTCCAGGTTTTGCTGACTAGCTCACACCTATGAGAGCGGCCAGGTGGCACAAACAGCGAAGTGCTCAGATACTAAAAGGTAAGAGTTTTGAGCCCTCTCAGGTACGCAGAAAGGCTGGGCTGGTGGCATGCAGACACCAACCACCGAAGACCCGTGCTGCCCAGGGCCACGCTGACATGGGTCAGAGAGGTGGTGCCAGCTGGTTTGCTTTGGGGGCAAACCCTTGTTGGCCTCACACTGCTTGGATTGACTTAGACAGGTGATTCCTTGTCCACAAAGGGGCATGAGGACCCTCCCTCATAAGGTGATCAAACAAAACCCCACTGTTACCATGTCATTCCTCTCCTGGCAACCTCTACAGCGTTTTTGAAGCTGTAAATCATAGCGAAGGAGACTGCCTATCTTCCACACAGCAACTGGCAGATTCGAACCACTGATCTTTCAGTTAGCAGCCCACACTACACCGCTGGAGCTCCTTTGTAACCTCATGCGTTACTGTTACGTGCCAAGTGGGAATCGACTCATAGCTGACCCCCTTGGGGGTTTTCAGAGGCAGAAAACTGCACAAGAGTTAACCGCCCATCTTACTCTCACAAAGCAGACGGTGGATTAGAACCTTGCACCTTTGGGTTGACAACCCAGCTCCTGTAGAGTAAGAAGGTGGGTGAGCTGTCCCAGTATGTAGGAAGCTTTCTAAATGTGGTTTCACTTTCTTCTCTTTAAAGCATCAATAGAAATCTCTAAATATTAAATCAATCTAATTACTAAGAAAAGTGTCAAATTAGCCAATATATCTTAAAGTTAACAACTAAATGTATAACTGTTTTAATTATTACTAATGAAAACAAAGCGGTAATGACTCTACTTATTAATTAACAAATCAGTCTAATTATTATTAATGAGACACCATTTGATCCCTGTAATAGCACCATGATTAAGGAGCTCTTTAACACGCTTACTCGTTATAATGATGATTCATAAATAACCAATTAACCCAATTAGTGCTAATAAAGAAATGGCAGCCGTTTCCCCTCACAGACACCCAGTTCTAACTGGAATTGGATTTCTGGACTTGGAAGGAATCGGGAGGGGCAGGAAAACTCCAGGCCCACGAGCACGGCCAGCACACGCAGAGGCCGTGTGGAGACGCGCTATTTTGGGAATTTGCTCACTGTGGGGGGTCCTGCCCTGAGGATGTCACTCTTTGGGGTTCACGTCATGACTGCCCACGTCATGGTGCTGGTGTGGCAAGGTGACAACCCCAATGCCCACCAGCCCTCCCTCAGCCAGCTCGTCCTTGGGCTGCCCTCCCTGCTCCAGACCCTTCCAGAGCTGATCACCGCAGAGCTGAGCCTCCGCACAGACACGGGGCCAGACCAGACACTCCTTCCCACCTTGCCTAACACGCTCCCAGGGCAAAGAGACTGTCGTGTGCTGCATCACCGATGTGCATGGAAAACTCACCAGAACCAGCCCCCTGATAATAAACTGATACGGACTCAGCGCAGCGCTGTAGGACAGAGCGGAGACGTCCCATGGGGTTTCCAAAGCTGCCTGTTACCTTTAAGGAAGCAGAATGCCTCACCTGTCCCTCAGACAACAGAGGGTGTGTGCGAACCTCTGACGCCTTGGTCAGTGTTTAAACCTGAGAACTCAGTGTTTTAGCCACCTGTTACCAGGACTCTCTCTCTCTCTCTCTCTCTCTCTGTGTGTGTGTGTGTGTGTGTGTGTGTGTGGACTCTGAGCATTCTGTGGGAGGATGAGGAGTTGGCTGGTAGGACGCTGTTGTCGGCCCGAGTCCAGCTAATCGCTTTCTTGTTTAAAGGAAGGAGGCAGTGTTTCTGTGGATGGGATCGGAAGGCAGAGGTTACCTGTGGTCCCAGCAGTCCAGGAGGGCCCATCTCACCTTTCTTCCCCTGCGAGCAAAGGGAAAGGGCACATTAGCAGCCAGTCGCCACGCAGTGCAGCCTGAGGAGGTGTCAGGGGAGGGGCCCCTTGTCCCTCAGCCCTGATCAGTGGACGTCCTTCCGAGCTAAAGAGCCCTGTGGTGGGGCTCTCCCAGTCCTGATCCCAGGATATCCTCTGATGACACGGGGAGAAAGGCTCAGGGGCAGACAGAGAGCTCAGCTCTGCCACAGGGGCCTCAGAGGAGATCAGAACAGTGTCTTCTCATTCTGTCCCCACTCAGCTCCTAGCCTTGAAGGGATATAACCATAGCAGACCTGGCTACTCTCTTCACGGATAAAACACACACACACACACACACACACACACACTCTCTCTCAGCACATGAGTACATACACCCCCCCACTTCACATACACAATGCACACACACACACACACACACACACACACACACACACACACCAGGCTATACATACGTATCTGAACACTTTGTCTGCCCAGCTATGTCTGAACACACCACACACACGTACAGCACACACATATCTAAATATATCACACACATTTATATCACCCATGTGTGCATACATGTCAGTATAAATATATATACACACAGTATATATTCAGCCACACTGCACACATACGTACCAGAACATGTCACACACACACATGCATGTCACATACCACACACCAAACATGCATCACACACACATCCATGTACACCTTTCATTCTACAACTAGACACACACACTGCACATACTTAAGGAGCTCTGGTGGCTCAATGGTAAGGAGTTGCATTACCAACCCAAAGGCACATGGTTCAAATCTGCCCGCTGCTCTGTGGGAGAAAGGTGAGCAGTCTCTTCCCGTTTAACCCCCAGCCTGTAAGAACCTGCTGAAGGGTCAGTTAGGAGTTGATTCCATGACGGTATAGAACAAACACACACACTCTCCCCCCGCCCCACTCCTGGATACACAAACCACATGTGTACACATCACATTATACTTGCATGTATGTGCACATGCAAATACATATTAAAAATGCCCACGTGCATACAAACATGCTCACTTGCACACACACTGCGCACACATGATTCCTTTTCTTTTCTTTTTTTTTATTTTAATGAACATTTACAGACACTTTGGATTTCCATTCATTCACTGTTGCACTTTCCTCCCTATCCACTCCTCCTCCCAGTTCGCTTTTCTTTTCTCTTTGAAGAAGAAAACATTCTTTCATTGTTATACAAACCTCCCACCCACCAAGTCCACTTTACCATACATTTATTATTCTGGACTCTTGTAATGAAAATAACACCTATTCATATATCCCTTTTAAACAGTTCTCTCCCTCATCTGATTAAATGCAGTATACATTATTTATCCCCTCTATCATTAAGTTCCTCCCAACCCCAATGTCAGTCCCATTTTACAACAGTGATACAACGTAGTATTTGTCCTTTTGTGACTGAGATACTTCACTCAGCATAATGTCCTCCAGAGTCATTTATTTTGAATAATGTTGCATGAGTTCCTTGTTTTTCAGTGCAACATAGTATTCCACTGTGTGACTAGACCACAGCTTCTCTATTCTTTGCTTTTCTTATGAACCACAGCATATAGTGCATCTTTTATCACTGAACCATTAATCTTGGATGAATCCTGTATCAGCACTTGAGGGCTGCTCTGTTCTGATTCACAGCCACACACCTTCCCTCCGCAGGAGAGAAAGGCCCCTCACTGAAATGCCGTCCAGCTGTGACACACGGGATGTCCACTCTGCTGTTGCTGGAACCTGAGCTCAGTGGGTCGGCTGCATCCTTAGACCTGTGAGTCCTGCTCCTTACACAGTGATGCGCGTGTGTGTGTGTGTGTGTGTGTGTGCGCGCGCGCGTGCACCCATGCATGCTTGTTTAATGTGATCCATACATGCACGTATTATATAACAGGACCTCCTAGAACACTGGGACACAGATCCTCTCTACTTTCTTCCTTGAGGTTGCCTGACTGAATCAAAGCACCACAGATCGACTTCAAAGAAAAACAAGAGTGTGAGTAACACCCATGCCCAAAGCGCCTGTGGGTGCTGGTACCCCATTTCTAGGTTCTGCTCACATTCCCCTTCTCACTTTTACTCCAGGACGCAACCCCATGATGCAAGAGTTCCCAGTCCAACACCAGCAAGGTTTAGAGTGACATTAGCATACAAGTCCTGCACGAGATGGGCCAGTAGTCAACATCATGATAAATGGAGAAAGAATGGCAATTGTCAATGATTTAATCTGGGTATCAGTATGAGGAAATCAGGAGACGTATGGTACTGGGTAAGTCTCCTGTCAGGGAACTCTCCAAAATACTGAAGAACAATGATGTCAGTTTGAAGACTAGGGTGCACCTGATTCAGGCCATGGCATTTTCAATCAATTGTTATGCATCTGAGAGCTATCCAATGAATATGGATGAGAGAAGAAGAATTGATGCTTTTGCCCTATGGTGTTGGGGAAGAGACTGAATACGCCATGGACTGCCCGAAGACCAAACAGCTGTGTCTCGGAAGAACCACGGCCAGCGCGTTCCTTGGGGGCGAAGGTGGTTAAGTATAGTCTAACGTGCCTCGGCAGGCTAGGAGGAGAAACTCTTCCTTGGAAAGGGACATCGTGCTTAGAAAGGTGGAAGGTCAGAAAAAGAGAGGAAGACCCCCAAGGAGACGGGCTGACATAGTGACTGCAGCACTGGGCTCAAATGCGTCAGGAGGATGGCACAGGCCAGGCCAGGGTCAGGCGTGCTCCTCACAGGGTGGCTATGACCTTGCTTGACCTAACAGCTCTGACCCGGGCACTGGGGATCCAGGCATGAGGAGCGTGACTTGCCTCATCTGGATTCAGGACACAGGACTTGTTCTCCTCCTGAGGTGGAAGGCACAGGCCTTTGGGAGGTTGCAGGGAGGCCTGGCCAGTGTGATGAGCTCCCGGCAGCCCTCAGGTGCAGGGTGGGATGAGGTCACACAGGCCCTCTGCCATGAATCAGGCTGGGATTCTGCACCCCCTCATAAAGCTCTGAAGAATGCAATCCCCAGGAGCTGGTCCTGGGAGAGGTAAGCCCCCACCTCCCACCCCGGGGAGTGGAAATCAGACAACTTCACTTTCTAGCTAGGCTGACACTGCTCCATTCCCTTCCTGGCTTTTGTGCAGAGAGCCCCCGCTTATTTAATACCAGCTGTTATCCCTCAAGGACAGTGGGCTGCCATGGTGAATAATGATGAGACTCCAGACCCCAACCTGTCAGAGCGCTGTGCCAAGTAAGGCCTTCAATGGGCGATGAGGAGGAGGAGGAAAGGGCAGAGAGGAAAGGAACGCGGTCCAGGCTGCGCTGTAGCACAGTCACCGCGTGCAGCAGGCCCAGCAGCGCCCCTCGCCCAGGGGTCCTGACCGTCTATGAAGGAGGCCGTGAAGCTGAGCGATCATCTTCATGTCCTCTGTAGATCATACACTGTGACCCCCCCTAATGCTGGGGAGATTACAGTGAGAATTTCCGGCTCCCATTCCTGCAGGGAAGGCCCTAAGTGGATGTGGAAGAGGAGAGTCCGGAGAGCAGGGTAGGAGGGAGAAGAGGAACATGAGAAACCACATCTGCTCGTGCCGTGGATCCGCTCACGTGGCCCAGCACATGGAGCAGAGCCCTCCTTGGTCCCCAGGCTGCAAGCTCTTGAGAAGCAGACTGCCGTGTGTTTCTACCTCAGAGAAGCCGGTGGGCTCGTCCCACTAACCTTTCGGCTGTCAGCCAATCACTCAACCACGAAGGTTTAGATAAAGAGGAAAAAGATAATACGATGGCAGGATGCCAGAAGAGAAATATGTTGCTAATTTGTGATCACAGCCATGTCTTAAGGCTGCTTTCTCCACCTGAAAAAAGGCAGAACGTTCTCAATCATCCCAGAAGCCACATCATCACAGCACAGTGGGAAACCCTCACTCTGGTCAGCTTGAATGGCTGTGTGCCTCTCCTGCTGCCCTTCCTGTCCTTAGCTACTCATCAGACCTCTCCTGGCCGGCCTTCCTCCCTAAGGCCTCATCCACAGGGACCTCCCTGCTCTCATGCCCTCCAGAGCTGGCCGGTGCTGGCAAGGGCCCCTCCCACAGAGGGGCAGGGTTCTGCTAGCTGCTTTTTTCTCTATCACAGTCAGAGCTTCATCATCATCTCAAAGACATCTGGCAAGGGTTGTTGTGTCAGGAGCTTGGTGCCCACTGTCCACACTCCCATCCCCTCAGCTCCAGGCTAGCTGGGCTGCTGAGCTCAGCGGCCACATCTCCTTACGGAATCCGGCTCCTGTGACAGCTCTCTCGGTTCCCTAGTCTGGAACGAGCCATTCCCATTCCACATATCACACCCACATCTCAGTCCAGTGCCACCTCTTTGATGACATCCAGCATCAAAGACCAAACCATCTGAGATCTAGAGTCCGAAGTTCCGCCAGATATCTAATGAGTCAGAACTGCCAGGGCTGAGGCACCACAGGCGAGGGAAATGGAATGGTTCCGAGACGTGGCTGCTGTGCATTTACAAGTGCGCTCAGTGTTCTTTTCCAAAGCCCTCACCTCTGCAGTGATATAAGAGGAAGAATTCTAAGTCTTAGGCAGATGGGCAAAGGGAAATCCTTTAATCTGCTGAGTCTTAGTTTCCACATATGGAAAATTATAACCATTACAACTACCTTAAATGATAGAAGTACATAAACATTTTAATATTTGAGGATGTGACTTAGAAAGCATAATAAAACATGGCTCAAATGTTAGTAAGAATGAGAAGGAAATTGACGCAATGAAGAAGAAATGATCATATCAGCGTTGTGATTCCTTTGAGTCCCTGTAGTGGGTGATACGGTGTGTGATAAATAGATCTAGTTTTAAAACCACAAATCTGCTCCTTAATAGCTCTGTAAGTTTGGTTTCCATACTTTATCTACATTGTTAATGGTAATAATAGCCTCTACTTCTCAGCAGTATGATGGAGATAA